GGGCCACTAGAATCTTCGGGAGTCTTCGTAATAATAACGCAAGTTATGCGGTAAAACCATGCATTTTCGAGGGATGTTCGACGGAGGCCGGCGGAACATGGCGTTTTTTCATCCGCTTTTCCTGCAACTACCCTCGCTGTGCGACACGCGAAGTGCTTGTCAACGTGTGACACGATATGTCATCCGATCCATCGTTCCATTTTCTTTTCCCATGATTATTATTTACCTCGTTTAAAGAATCACACCTACGGTATTATAAAAATAACATTTCTCTCGCTCGCTTCCTCTCCGAAGTGTCGAGATTCTTGGTGGTGGACATGCGAGTCGCGCCCAGCTTTTAGAATTTCGATACACTTCACTCGCCGATGCGTGTCTCCACCGGCACAGAAAAAAGGAATTCGCATTTTTCACGAGCGGCTCGTGACAAATTCAGTAAGCGCCCGCCGGTCATAAATATCCGTTCGAGCGAACGGTAATCAAGCGGCTCCGGAATCCGCTGCCCTTTTTGTTCGCGAGCCGCGCGCACACGAACGCGCGGGAACACACACCGTGGCCGGTTAATCATAATAATCTTACGCGGCGATTAAAATCGCGCCGCGCAAATAACAGCGTCCGCGTCGCTAATTAAGTCCCGACGTGAGCGAGCGTCTTTCATAAATTATCTCCAATCCTGCGCGTCATCGGCGTACCGTAACGCAGCAGTAATTTGTCACCTCGCGCGAGCTATCGAGCACCGGCGCTACAGCGGCGTCGCAACCGGGCCCATGTTAAGTGATTTATCCTTGCCATCGCGAGGAGCCGCCATTATGCGCCGTGAATATAGATGTACGATTCTCGACAAGACAAGAGGGGGTGCGCGTCGCTTTCGGTCCCGAAAGAGATCCGACCGGCGAAACGTGGCTTGTAATGCCGACTGTTATTCGCGCGCGCGCGAATCGATCATTGCTAATTCCTCGTGAGCAGCTTCGGTGATTTCCGTATATGCAGACCACGGTAGTAGTATCAAAATTTAAAAAAAAAATGAGACAATTCCCTGCAAAATCGTAATATCAAAATCCGAATATCGAGACAATTTTTCAAGATTATGAATCTTACTGAATTATTACGAATGGTCCAGTTCTCGGGTTGCGAGATTTGCATTTTCCGGGACAATGCACGCCCGCCTTTCCTTCTTCTTCTTCTTCTTCTTCTTCTTCTTCTTCTTCTTCTTCTTCTTCTTCTCCCCGTATGCATGACGACGAATCGTCCGACGTTATTATCGGCGAGCTTCGACATCGAAATTCGTCCGCCTTTATGCGGCCGCTGAGAATCGTCCGGATCCCGAGGTGGATGCGCGGCCATCAGAGATCGGAGATCCTCCGGCTCGGGATGCGACATTTCCAGTCCGTCTGTGGGCGTACGTGCTGAGGAGTCCGCGGAAGGACGACAGGCAAGGAGCGACCGCTCCTGCCGAGGGCGGGCAGAGAGGACGAATAGGTTTTTGAATGGACGCAGCATTCAATGTTTTATCGAGGATCTACGTTGGCTGAATGCCTCCGCCGAGCACCTTTGTGCCTCGTCGCGTTGCGACGAGCGGATCCTCCTCAGTTCGAGGAATAGGGGCGTGGGAGGAGTGACGAGTCGCGAAGGACGCTGGGTATCCCGGGCTTCCTTTCTCTCCCTCTTTATCTCACCGTCGAGTGGATCCTCCCTCGCCCCCTGTTGCCGGGAGAGTAGCGCGTACAGGTGGTACAGCCTCTTCGTACCTTCACGCAGCACTAGTTCCCTCCTCATTATCCTCCCTAGGTGGTCATTCAGAGCGCTTCCACCGCGCTCGTCCTGCTCCGCGATTGTTCGCACTTAAGAATCGCGCCGATCGATAGCTCGACTTGATATATGCACAGGGATGCTCGATCTCCGTCAGCCGTCAAATCCTTCGAGTTGCGGAGCCTGTGGAGCCGTCAAACGTCACAAATTCATGTTCTACAAGTCTCGAGAGAATGTAATTTTAGAGTTCCTTTTAGAATCATTGATTATGAAAGAGAAAGGTGGACAGCAACCATCGCAGACTTTCCGTCTGATCGAGTGCCTTGAATGTCATAATATTCAAATTCTTTCGTCAACGCGATCATGTTCTTATCAATTAATAATATCTTGTACTCGAAGACAAAAAAGTTTTTGAATGGACCAATTTTTTCTAATGGAATACGAATAATTCAGAAATTCCGTTTCCGGAACGATCACCATTTCGCTTCAGTTGACCATTATTATATTATTTATTATTATTTTATTATTATATACTATATTATTATTATTTATTATTATTATATTTGTTTTTTATTTATTATTATATTATTTAGGCTGAATTCTAATAACTTCGCCTGGAATTTCTATCCTTCACGTTTCACCGAAAGATTCTTTCATTCAAGCAAATAGTCTCTTTGCGCAAAGAAATAATCTCTCGCGCGAAATTTGTGTCATAGAAAAATCCGCACGACATCTTTTATATTTCTCTCAGTAAGATATCCCTGTATCTTTCCGTGCGTGTCGAGCGGTGCGTGTCGTCGAATCCGCCCGCCCCGGACAATATTCGCGCGGTTCTCGTTACACTGCGACGCGCGTCGCGAGGTTTCGCGAGCAAATACGCGCGGGACGCGACAGTTTAAAGCGAAAGTGTACCGGAGTCACGTGTGTCGCACCCCTTCTTGGGGTGGGTGCGTGCCGCCGAGCGTTTGCGCTTCCACTTTTACGGCGCTCATCCCGTTCCGGGGTCGCACCCTCTCTCGAGAGCACGCACACTTGTAAATAGCGGCTCGTCGCGCTGTGTCCGATCACATCCCGACTGTCAGCGCGAAGCGAAGGGGATTAGTGTTTCAATTATTTGCACAATAAGGAGCGGCCTGTCGGCGCGCGCGTCGGCCGATACATCGAGTGGCGGAGTCGCGTGACCGTGTTTACTCGCCGTCGAAAGCCCGGCGCGATTGATCCTTTGAACGTCGCTCCTCCCTCGAGCCGGCCACACTGCATCGGTAATCCGAGCGTGCAGCGTTAGGTAAGACGTTCCTCTAACTTACCGGCTCTCTCACCTGCGGCGCCAGGTGAGGCGCGGGTAACCCGGCGGCTTACCTGGTGCGCCTCCGTTGTCCGGACCGGAGACCGGTCGAGGATCCCCGACGCGGTCATTTCCACTCTCTCTCTCTCTCTCTCTCTCTCTCTCTCTCTCTCTCTCTATTTTGCACGACTTGGACACTGACTTTTGGACACTGCGAGGATCTTAGCTTGAGAACACGAACGAGGAGGTCCACGTAAATCGCATCGTCCATGAGACGCCTCCTTATTCCGTGATATATTTTTAGCACAAAGCTACATGCTTGTCTCGACTGGACGCGACGCTTAAAATTCCCTCTTTCGAGGAGACATCCTGGAGAACAGGCCACGCAATTCCGGCAACGAGCGCTGCGCCTTGTTAGCCATCGTCAGTGTAGGCGTCGCGAGATATCGAGACGCGGACGGTCGTGCCTGGAGGAAAGAAAATTGCCCGCCAGCCAAGGACGTTCAGTGCTCCCGTGACAAAACGCCGGAGCGCCTCGTGAGTCCTCTCTCCGGCGCCAGGATAATGAAGAACCAGTCAATGTCGCCGCGCAGCCATCAATCCCGTCGCTTGAGTATCGGGGCTCTTCTCGATTCCGTTTCGATCCGCCGGAGGCGATCGTTGAGCGGCGGAATTAAGATCGGCTTAGAGACGACCTTCCCGCTGCTAATGAGCGGAACAGATACGCACGCGCTGCGATGATCGTCGAGTTTGCGAAGTGGCTCGCGTGTATCTAAATTCGCGAGCAGTCGAGGCTCCTCTTAACTTAATCGCGATTGTCGATCTACTCTATCGAGAGGAAAGTTAGTATTCTTCGGAGCTTAGCGTCTTTGAAATCCGGATTACGGAATCCTCGAGATACGCGCGATTGTTCGACGACAAAACGTCCCCCTTCCTTCCTCTTCTCTCGCTTCCCTCCCTCTCTCCCTCTTCTCTCGGGCGAGCAGGCCGACGGGTCTCGCGACGAAAAATAACCGCGAAGGACATTGAACCGCCGTCGATATATCTTCCCTACTGGAAGCACGCCGGCAGGCCGCTGTTATTAATGTCGTTCCGCCCTCTGCTACGGCTTCGACACTGATCACAGTGTTATTATTTCGTGATTTACAAGCAAAACGGGAAGTATCATTAGGTCGCGATTATTAGGTCCTCCTAAAAAGAAGACAAAGCCCTCGCCATCGCGAGAGGAGCGGGATGGGATTTTTATCAATTGCCCGTCGGCTTAATTGAACGTTGCCGCGTCCGGGGGGGGGGGTCGCGATCATTTAAATTTAGCCGAGCGGCCAGCACGCGCGAGACGCCGCGCCGCGCCGCGCGGAGACGCTGCATTACCCTCGCTCCCCTCGTTCCCCGAGGCCGCAAATTGGCCTCTCTCAGGCAAGGACGCGGAAATCCTTCTCATCGACGGCTGCCGATCGATTTCCAGAGAATGCAGCGTCACGCCGCCGAGAGAATTTCGCGGAAATTGCCTCGGCGGGCCTCACCCGCCCCCCTCCCTCGAGCCTTCCGAGCGAAGGAGGAAGCGTCGCGGTCGTCCTGCGTGACGTTCCGTCGCGAGCGCGCTTCGATTCCGCCGTAATCCGACCTGTATTATCCCTGGGGCCATCGGCGGACGGAAAGGAGGAGGGGGGTTGGGGGTAATCGGGTTCCCCGAGAGCGTATTCCGCGAGAACGGGCATTACGCTCGGCAAATGTATGTAAATGAACGCTGAGAACCCTTCTTACGCTCTCGTACGCACACGTATCAGCGACAATCAATGACCCCCTCATTTTCGCGACCTGATCGCTTCATATCCGTGACGAACGCATTATCGGTTTACCTGGCGGCCAGTAACGGAGCCATAAATCGGCCCCTCCGCCGTGGCGCGCCGAGCGAACCGGCGACCGACCGGTCGCTCGGTCCGGCGAGAAAGAGAAGCGGCGCGCTACCTTCATGGCAATGGATTTATTGGCAAAGGTTTGCCGTTTGAGAAACAAAATGGCGATGGCTGCACAGCGCTATACATAGTACCTTAATAGTGAATATTAATTATAGGACGCATGCATCTTACGCGCGAGAATCCTTAGGGATACGGCTCCATCGTACAGCATGTGACGGAACGCCTTAGATATGTGTACATCATACGGCTACTGATAAAATAGAATGATCGAGGCGTCACTTACGTAGTCTACAAACATGAGCAATACACGAGGGATATCCGTATACAGACTGTTCGCGGAGCCGACGTGCCGCATGCTCGTCTCGGTCAGCTTCGACTGCTTCGAGCTCGGCCTTTCCGTGAAAGCGTCCTGGCGAATCGGGCGAGCGGCGGCGCGACAGTTCCGGAACAGCCTGTGCATGCTTCTCGCGAGCTTCATGGTGTAACGTCACTCGCGGCTTAACACAAGTATGGCTCGCTCGATATTGCATGGCGAGAGGAACTATCTCAAAGGACTGAGGTAATGAGAGAGAGAGAGAGAGAGAGAGAGAGAGAGGGAGAGAGAGGGAGAGAGAGAGAGAACGAGCTAGGTAAATGCGCTAAATCAAACAATCGATGACGAGCCACGGAGAACGGCTTTCTCGCTGATTGAGATACTTCCTTGACGCGGGACTGTCTTAGGATCTAGGTAACTTAGATCTAGGGGACGCGCAAACACGCTGCCGCGACAAGTCGGTCCGTCCATCGCAGCTGCGGGGCCCGCGGGGGTGAGCGAGGCCGGGTAGCCCCCGAGAACCTAGCGAGGCCCTGGCGGCTGCGACTTCCTCGTCTACCTCTTCATCGCAGAAGCGTGACCGCGATAAAAGCATGCGAAGAGGGGACTCTCAGTCAATCACTTGAGGGTCTGTTAACGCTAGAATCCTCGGCTCGACTTACTCGGATGCCGTCGACATCGTTGTCTCGGTGTGAAGATATTTGTTTTGAATTATCTTAAAGAGGACAATTATATTTGACCATTTTTATCAATCGATGACTAATAGAAATAATTAGTCTTTCTCATTGGATCAAGATGTAGCACATATGAAGTAGAGTGACGAAGACTTGAGCGGTATATTTTATAAGACCACACACTTGTCCGATGATAAATTTTTACGCAAAGAGCCTTGTGTGAAAAATTCATACGAAGAATGTAATTTCTCGACGCCAAGAGCGCAACAAGGAGAGTCCGAGTATTTTAGCGTTAACTGTCGCGGGACGGCGCGAATGATTCGTTAAGTCCCCTTCGGCGATTAAATTGTTTCCTTATCGACATAGGTTCACTGTCACCGGTGTAGTACCTTTCTAATATACAAATAAAGTTCGCTCTCGATTTGCATACGAGATCGCATCGCAGCGCATCGCATCGGTCGGCCGACAATCTCTGAGGTGCTGCGCTTCGCTGTTTCGAGAAGATCGACGGGGAGATTATCGGTTTTGCGGAAGGGTGTCGTGGAGTGTTTTTCGGGTAGTAAAACGAGTCCTTTTACGGTACGTGCTCAGCATGTTAAGGAATATACGCCGCTGCCTCGGCCAAAAAAATATTTTGTCGGGGCCGAGAGCCTCCGTGACGATTCGGTTCGAGATTTTCTCACCGGAGATCAAAGATCAGAGATCAGAGATCGAGGGTCCGGCTCGGGTACGTACATCCTCGACGAATACACAAAGCCGTACGGGGATTCTCGTTATTTGAGATATTCAGTTGCGAAGACGCGTATCGATATGCGAAATCGATCTCGAGTTACGAACGCGCGCCGAGGATTGCGTCAGGATTAGACGTTTCGCCTCGTCTCTGTGCGTTCGTACTAAAAAGTAAAAAAAAAAAAGAAAAAAAAAGAAGGAGAAGAAGAGAAAGAAGAAAGAAGCTCGCACGATTTCTCAGACTGATCTCACGATTGTGATACGTACAATTAGACGACGATTGTATAAATTTACCGTCGCGTTTCCAGGCAAAGAGACACCGAGAAATGAACACCGCGCGTGCGTATCGTCGGTCGCGTCGCGCACGAAATCCACGGGTATAAAAAGACCAGGCATTCCTAATGTCGTGGTTGGAAATCGTCTAAGCCGGGTGCGTGTCGTCAGCCAGGTGCAATCTCTCACGCACCGGGACGCCAAAAGCGCTTCGTTCTTGCTCCGAGGAGCCTCGCGAGTAGCCTATAAGAAAAATACCCGACAACCGCTTCGATCGGTTGCCACAATCGTCAAAGGCCATCGAGCAGAGTTGCTGCACACAAAAGTTCGTACTTTCGCCGGCCAAAGGAGTAACTTTCATCTGTCAGAGTTTCGCAATGACTGAGCATCGATTCGACTTTCGTGCGTCGGCCCCGGCCGACCTTTCGGTCCTCCGGATCGGGAACGGGTCACCTTGCTCGGACACACGCGAGCTCTTCCTTAGATCCTAAATGTCGTCCTTAAAATTAATTGTTGAGGCAGTTGAGTTGGCAAGAACAAAAGAATCAGTCGTGTTCGTCCGGTCGACGACGACGACGTCGTTGTGCCGCCACGAAGAAGCCCGCCGACTCGTCACGCTCGCCATCGTCGTCGTCAGCCCGCCCGCGATATCGGCTCCTCCCGAGGAAGTCGAGGACGTTCTTCCCTCCCCCGCGCGTTAGCGTCCAACACACTTCCTACGTCGTCCAATCTACGTCCAGGAGAAAATTCAAATGAGAGCGCGAGAGAGAGAGAGAGAGAGAGAGAGAGAGAGAGAGAGAGAGAGAGAGAGAGAGAGAGAGAGAGTCACGTGGTGGATTCCCGCAATTGCTCTCGATTGCCGGTCGACCCACGTTACGTCGGTCTCCTCCGGTCGACCTTGAAGAAATAGCGCGATCTGAGCTCTACCGCGGGGGAACATACGGACGAGGGAGAATTAGTGCGGTCGCGATGATCTTCGCAGGGTTGCGCGACGGCTCGCCGGTCGTCCTTCGTCGGTCCTTCTTCGTGGCCGTCCGCTTGCGCTCACAGCGAGAGGAACTTCTTCAAGGCGTCGTAAATGAGCTGCGGGTCGATGGTGCCGTCCGCGGTGTACCGGACGCCGCGCAAGGAGCCATCGTCGTGACTGACGATGCCGTACTCGCCCACGATGAAACCGTCCGGCGTTCTCTCCTCGACCCGGTACTTCCTGAAGTTCCTGTCCTCGACGTAGTCGACCTTGCGGCCGTCCTCAAACTCGGATGTGGCCGAAATCTCCGTGACGACCAACTGCGGGCCGTGGACGTTGCCGTTGCTGCCGACGCTCACCGACTCGTCGATCTCGTAGTTCTGCTCGTCGGGCTCACCGCCTGGTTGGCGATCTACCGGTTGGCCCTCGGAGTCGTACACCTTGCTGGGTTCTCCGTACATCTTGGCCGGCTGCGAGTAAATCTTGGCGGGCTCGGAGTACACTTTCGCCGGCTCCGAGTAGATCTTGGACGGCTCGGAGTAAACCTTCTCCGGCTCGCCATAGATCTTGGCGGGTTCGCTGTAGACCTTCGCGGGCTCGCTGTACACCTTGGCCGGCTCGCTGTAGACCTTGGCGGGCTCGCTGTACACCTTAGCCGGTTCCCCGTACACCCGCTCGGGCTCGCCGTAGACCTTGGCCGGTTCACTGTACACTTTGGCCGGCTCGTTGTACGTTCGCGTTGGCTTGTACACCTTCGACGTCTGGCTGTAGACCTTCGGGCCCGTGCGGTTGTAGATCGGCGCGTCGTAGTGGCGGGCCGCCTTGCGGTTTTGCGCCTGGAGCCGATCCGACGACATCTCCGGCGGCTCTTCGTTCAGCCCCTGAGGCTTCGAGTTCTCCACGGGAAGCTCGTAATTCTCCTCCGTCGGCAACGTGATAGCGTCCTCGTCGGCGTCGGTGCGGGTGGTTTCGTTCGACTGCTCGTCCCGACGCTTCTCCGTGAACGCGGGAGTCTGTTGGATCTGCGGCGTCATGGTGACGCGGCCGCGCCAGCTCGTCCTCGGCGACTCCTCGTCCACGGAGAACTCGCTCCTGTTGGACTCTGAGACGATGTTGCTGAGCTCCTCCGTGACGAACCGAGCCGGCAAAGGCGTCGTCATCAGCGTCGTGCTTACCGTTGTCGCGGTCGTCGTCGTCGTCGTCGTCGTCGTTGTCGTTGGAGGCGACGACAGCTTGGCGTTGCCGCTGTTGCTCTCACCGAGCCTCACCGTGCTTCTGCTCGCTGGGTCTCTGGTGACTTCTCTGCTCACCGGAGACTCTAAACTCGGCGGTCGTGTCACCACCATCGCGGCGTCCGCGCTGTCGTAATGCTCGACGCGCACTTTATACGGCGTCGCCTCGACCGTGGATGTGACGCTGACGCCGATCACCTTCTGCCGGCTGACGGCTTTGCCGGTGGCGTTGGCTCCAGCGTGATTGGTACCGTTCGACCTCGGGCTCGTTCGGTCTTTCAAGGTCGGCGGCGGACTCGCCATCGTCGTCGTCGTCGTCGTCGTCGTCGTCGTCGTCGTCGTCGCGCTAGTCGGCGTCAGACGCGTCGATCTTACGCCGCCTGGCGTGCTCAGGTCGTCGATCAACGACGCCAGATTCTGTTGCCGGTTCTCCAGCGTCCTCTGACTTATGGGGTAGAAGCGGACGACTTCCTCGCGGCCGCTCGGCGGCCTCGACACCACCGGACGCACGTTGGGGTTCCGAGATATCCGGTAGATCGACGCCTCGTGCTGGTGCGACTCGGCGGTCGCGCTGTCGCCGTTTGGCGCCGTCGCCTGTCCTCCGCGACGGAAGCCCCCCCGTCGTCGTTGCGGTGTCGGCGCCATGGCGCCGTTTATGAAGACCGACAGGAATTCTGTGCCCGCGAGGATGTCGCTCTTTCTCGGTGGAGCGCCGCGCGCCTCCTCCCACACCAGTGCCGCCTGAAGCAGTACCTGAAAAGCACAACGGATGTTTTGATATTTTGACTGTCTTATATATTTCACTAATAGGAGTTTATATACAATTCCCTGTGATAAAAGAGACGCACACTATTTCTCTCGAAATTTCTTGGAGTCTCTCATCCCTCTCTCTCTCTCTCTCTCTCTCTCTTCCTCTCCCTCTCTCTCTCTCTCTCTCTCTCTCTCTCTCTCTCTCTCTCACACTAAAAACGACGGAAAATTTCAAAGTTCGAAGCGACGATGGGAACAACGTCGTTCAGGAGGATTACAAGAATAAATGCTTGATTCTCGTTCAGTTCTCAATGGGGAAATATCCACTCAACGATTCAATTTCCACGATTGAAATTCCGCAATCGGAGATTCCGCTCTAAATAGGCGGGAAAAATCATGCGAATCCGAATAATTTGACTGTCGTTCTGTTTTCCAGCTGAATTTTTACTCGTGGAAATTACAAAAAAAATGGAGCTTTCGATTGTAGAACATCATTGATTGCGATAACGCGGACAGGCAGCTTACTAGGCGTTCAATTTGTCTTGTCAATTGTCAGCTGGCGAGACGGATAAACAATAACGCGCAAATGAAGCCATACCGACGTCCAGGCCGCCATAACATTCAGGCGAATGATCGGCGAGAGCAAGGCGACTGGCGCCGTTTATAGGATGTCGCATTTTAGTTTCGCACCTTTTGCGCCGTCGTTAAACGCGCTCGCGGAATCAGCGAACAAGCTCGCGGAGTACTTTATCCCTCTCCGCCGAAAGAGCAGGAAAACAAAACGCGAACGGCGGGCGATAAACCGTTTTTATGCGCTTCGCGTTTCAGATACACGAAGGACGCGATGCAGGTGCGCGCATCGAGCGATTTTTCTTTTTCCTTCTTTTTTTTTTCGTTTTAGTCGCCGGCACCCTGTGCCGCTCGTAAAGTTCACCTCGAAAGACACGCCGGCCGCTCTCCCGATGAAAATCGCCAACATTTTTACGCGGACTCGTACGTCGTGAATTTCGCGACTCGGCTTCGGCTCGTGTGTTACTTCCTGTTCTCGCTCACATCGGGATTCTCTCGATTGCACGACACTCGAGCACGCGTAGGCAACGACGAGGAAAAAAGACGAATCCGACTCGTTCGGACGATCCATTTATGGGATCGCAATTAACCCTTTGACACTCTTTCAACTTCTCGGAGCGGAATTTCATCCGACATCGAGTGTTTCTTCCGCTCAAATAGAATGAATTCTCAATTTTGAAGAATCCTGCTGATCTTCGCTCGTTTCAAACAAGATTCCACTTCAGACATTTTGGGAAATAAATGCGTGCGTTTCTATTACATATGGTGTTTTCGGTCTCGGTGAACCATCTAAAAGATGTCGTATAACAAATAAACTATACGCATTACAGACAACAATGTGGAGTAAAATCACAAGTAACTGGCAATTACTCTCAGTCAGTTTTCGACACTCTGTCACGGGAATTTTTCAAGTATTATGACGCATGTGAATTCATCAGTTATTTTTGATTATTAACTAATTATTATTTTAATTAAATTTGAATCCCCACGCCCCTCTTAACGCTCTTTGATAAGAGCTCCGGGCAGAGAGCTGTCGGCTGGACATTTATCCAATCTTCGCCAATGATTTACAGCCTTACATTTTGCATCCGTCGACGACGACGCGTCGATTGAAGGCTTAACAGGATCTCGAAACTTGCAGGTTGTAACGCTATTTAAAGCTCCGTTATAGACTTTTGACGGGGCCGACGATATTCGATTTATCTGCAACGTCCCGTGACTCTCAGCTCCGCGGATGAATTACGCGTTGCCCAAACAAGGCAGATAGTTATCCGTCCGCTGCCGGATTTTTAGCCGCTAGCTTATCGATCCCGTTCTTAATCGATTTCCAATGATCGGCCGCCCTGGCTCCCGATATAATAAGATACACGGCCATCGCGAGTGTGCGTAATAAGATACCTCGGATGCTCGAGTTCCTTGTAACCGCGACCTTGACGAATCGCAGGTAAGGGAGCCAGCGTCCACGAATACGATATTTATGAGCGAGCGGACGGTCTCTATCGGGATCTGCGGCGCGCGAGGTGGGCGAGGTTATCGTCCAAACGCAGCGATCCCCGCGTCTAATAATGCCGGAACCATTACGCGCTCGGCTTTGCATTTGCAAACAATGGGGAGCGTCGCCCGCCCGATACGAAGATCGACGATCAAAGGCGAAGCACAGCGCGTGCGACTTGAGAACCTCCAGCTGAAAACCGCAACCTGGTGAGCCCAACGTCTCACACGAGCCGGCGATCAACGTTTCTGCAAGGTGCGAGAGAGTCCAGTTTATATACTAGAGATGTGCGAATCGAATCGAATCGAATCTCATTTTTTTAATTCGAATTCGAATCGAATCTATGAAATTTCATTCGAATTCGAATCGAATCGAATCATTAAAAAATTTAACATGACTATTAAACATGTACATAATGATGGAAGGTTTTAATATGAAAGGGGATATTGATATTGTGATATCATTTTAAAGTAAAATATATATTTAAATATTTAAAGTAATTTATAATTAAGTTATTGATTATAAATTAAGTTAATTACAAGTTAAGGGTTCAAACATACAGGCCCAGATGTCTCGTTTTGTACTTGATGCATGCAAATATAATGCACGCTAATATATTTGATTCGTAATTGAATCTTCGTTTCGAAATTTTCGAATTATTCGGACTCGAATCATAGGGATTCAGATTCGAATCGAATCGAATTACATTAGATTCGATTCGATTCGAATTCGAATAGTTCGCACATCTCTATTATATGCATACACATATATTATATATATACGTATATATATATATATATATATACAAAATAGGGGAAGACGATGTTTCATTATCCGTCCACATTCTTGCAGAGGCCACGTCGCGGTTGAAGAATCCCGTGACTGTTTACGCATTGGTATCGCGAACCTTGAAGCAATTTCAGCGGCTTTTCCTCGCCACCGATGATACCTGCATCTGAAACGTACGTATCCGTACGGAGGCAATTTATATTCATATGTCCTGATTATAGTCATCGTCGATGGGGCCTACGTGACTGCGGTCATGCGAAGCCGAGCGATGGGTTCCGCTTCGGCAACAACGCGCGCGGTCTCAGCCGCGGAAACAACATTCGCGACATTTCAGCGGCGGGGAGGAAGAGAGACGAACGGTCGCGTTCGCCCGTGATCGCGCCGGTAAAAATTGATGCCCGAAGTTATCGGACGCCGACAAAGCCCGTCCTCCACTCAAGAGGGAGAAATCCGAGGCGCCGCGCGAAAGGACGTTCCTCCGAGCGCTGTGGAACACGGCGGCAAGGAGCGCGGGTGACCCTCGCGGTCGTAACATTGCGAGCGTTTTAAAGCGAGTTTCGACGCTCGTCCTGACGGCAATTAGCCGTGCGCGCTTCTCACGTGCCGACGGGCCCGCGTCCCGGAGATAGCGACCGCCGGCGCGCGAACATAAACGCCTAATTTATCCCTTATTACGCGATTGCCCGGCGACATGCGCCGCGCACACCGAGAGAAAGGATGCGCAGGGAGAAGTTGAGACGCGCGCATGGGCGTCGCAAGGGGCGCGTAAAGGGACGACGCATCGTCCTTTCGCGCGTCCCCGTGCCAGGAGCACGAATGTCGAATCGGCTCGTGTAAGAACATTGTGCATTTACTTTGTGTGTGTGTGTGTGTGTGTGTGTTACTTCGGCTGAAATTCTTTTCTCATATACGTTTCTCGCTTTTACTTATAATTTATTAGCTTGTAATTTCATACCTTTTAAACGCGTCAGATGCGTCACCTTCAGGCTTTCATACGTGTAAGGAAAACATTCGGATTTGCGGTGAAGTGATTTCGGACTTTTCAGGTACGCGACGAGACGATTGTATCTTTATGCCGTTATAATTTTACGAAGCGACGTTTTGATCTGTGATCTTTTGCGCATACATTGCTTTGTAAAATTATATATTCGATGAAACACCGTCGTTTCACTTTACCTGGGAAATCCGAGATTGTTTGTTACACAAAGCAAAATAGCTGAAGAATAGAGACGCTCCTCTAAGAACTTTAATCGAACGACTTTCTAATATCAACCCTTTGTAAAGGGTGTCGTTGTTGTCAAGGGAAGCTGCACAAAGTCCTTTATGAAATTCGCTTTTAAATTTAAATTTAAATCTAAATATAATTACATAGGCAGCTTTGCAAAATTTAAAGCCTAATTTAAAGCCCGAAAAGTACCGCGGTGTCATTCGAGTTTGACAAAAAATTTTCTACGGTGTTCCCATCTTCTCTCTTTCTCCTCTTCTCTCTCATAAAAATCGCCAAATATAAATTTCTATAAAATACGAAAAAGTTTGAGATACAAATATAAAACAAAACTGACCAAAAACAAAAATATAAGATATAATACACGTTTAGTAGTCAATCGGATATTTGGACTCGAGTGAAACTGAAACCTCGAGAGCGAGCAGGAGTGACAAAGTCTCGAGCTCCGACAGACTTTCGGGAAACGACGCCCATGCAACCCCCTAAAATCCCGACGACGTTCGCGAGCCGAGATAAGCGCGAACGTGTTTTAGGATATTTAAGACGACGTGCCGAGAATTATTTCAAGTCGCACAAAGAGGCGCGAAATCGCGCCACGGCCGATATTAACGTCAGCGGAATTAGTCCCGCGGACATCCTACTTTCAATTAGCTATCAGCGCACTTGACCCGACAATGCGCGCGTATCTCGCCACGCGCATTTAATGCCGCTGTTACGTGACGGAGCCGCGTGAGGAGCGAGCGAGAGGAGAGGAGACAGCGCTGCTTTCCTTCGCGAGGATCCTTATGCGGGTCACAGCGGTGTAAAATCCCCCCGCGACTCTGGTAAACTTAAAAGCACTCGGGACCTCTCGTGTCCGATTTTATTGCCGGCTTCTCTGTCGCACCGCTCCGCAGCCCGCCGCGGATTTGTGCGGCTCCGGGAAGG